AAGACTGTAGAAGCCTAAGAACTTCTCTTACCTTGTAATAAGTGTGGATCTGTCAGCTATCCAGCCCAGCCCATACAATTGGGCATGACAACTCCTGTCCTTACATAAGGGCAAGGGGTGAACCAGTTAAGTGGATCCTTCTTTGTTTGCCCTTAAACCTCATGCTAATTTGTTAGCTACAGAAACAGATGCTATTAAATCCAGTGTTCACTTAAGTGCAGATTTTTCACTACACTCTGTCTAAAAGAGTACAGCTTTCAAATACATGGTATCCTTTGTCTCAATAAATGAAAGCAGAGTAAAAGTTAAAAACTTTGAGTCTCAGTTATACTTTCAGAAGATAAAACCAAACAAAATTAGTCTATCTTAGCTGGGCACTAGCATCACTCACATGACTGGGTGCCCAGTCAAGAGCCTCAAGCAGGAAGACATGGCTCCCTGGGGTTGCCTCAGTTGTGATGTGGTGTATTTGTTCCCGTCTCAGTTTTCGAAGAAAGATGCTGGCATTTATGAAGTGATCCTGAAAGATGACCGAGGGAAAGACAAGAGCAGACTGAAACTTGTGGATGAAGGTCAGTCCTGTGTGTGTTTCCCTTGAGGGTAGGGAGTTAGGGGGGAAGCTGAGCTAGGCGGTGACATGCTGGGTTTTGGCCCACAGATTGTGTTAATTGGAATTCCAGCAGAGTGAACTACTGCTTTATTCAAAATATATTTTAGTTTCTCCAGGCTTCCTAGAAATCAAAAGCATAACTTTGATCCTCGGAATTTATAGGCCACAGCCCAATAGGAGCCTGTTTTAAATTGAAATTGTCATTTTTGTTTCAACTGGATAAAAGCGTTCCAGGATGAAAAACATCTGTTAGATGCATGTGGCAAAATAGCTCACTTTTTAAAGGTGGTAAGAGAGATTTGGATAAGAAATTCAAAGCCTCACAGTTATTAGGAAAGCAAAGAAGCAATTTTCCTTTTTTTAAACTAAAGATAAACATCTCGTGGAAATGAAAGCTTAGGTGTGTCCCCCAAACTTCCAATTTTTTTCTGGGAAAAACCTTTTAACAGTATTGCTAACAAATAGCAGAAGTTTGATTTTCATTTTGCCTTCCTAGTCATGGTAGAGGGGGCTCTGGTGGCCTAATGGTAAGAAGCTGTGCTGCAATACCAAAGGCTCATGGTTCAAATCTACTAGCTGCTCTGTGGGAGTAGGAAGAGCAGTCTCCTCCTATGCAGTTTACTGCCTCTGAAAACCTGCTGGAGGGTCAGCTATGGGTCGGTTCCGACTCAACGGCAAACCACAGCAGTCTTGGTGAAGGCAGCTCTGGTGGTGTAGACTGTAGGGAATTAGGTTGCCAGCTGGTTCAAACCCACCAGTGGCTCTGCAGGAGAAAGGTGGGCAATCTCAAACTGTGCTATTTACAGCCTTGGAAGGAGCCTCAAGGAGCATCAGCTATGAGTCAGTTCACAGTATATGGCAAGGAGTTGAGACAGTTGAGAATTGGTGAAGAAGTGGCACAATGTTCTTAATGGCAACACCTTAGACTGAAGGAGGCCAGGAAACCTGACATGAAATATTATGCAAAATGGATGACTCTGGAGTCATCCATTATGCTGGGTGAAATATCTCAGTCACAAAAGGACAAATATTGCATAGGGCCACTGTTGTAAAACGGGACTGACATTGGGAAGACAGAAAAAGAGGGGAGGAATGATGTATATTTCATTGAAACAGATGAGGGAGAGAACTGTTTAAAAGGGATAAATGAATGGGTATTCTTGTCATTATAGAAGTCCAGAGTGAAAGCTGCATAGCGAAGTGGACTTGGGGGGAGGGATTGCATAACAATGAGTTTTTCTTTTCAAGGAGAAGGATGAATTGGGGGACAGGGAGAAAAGTGCAACAATTAATGACTGGAAATCCTAAGTCTCTGTAAACTTTCATTAAAATTAGTTAAAAAAGGCTAATGGGAAATGTAAGGAAAAATCATTTAAATTTTTATTTTAAAATTTAGGTATTTCTTCAAATAGTGCTTTATTATCATCAATAGGTCAACAAATTGAACTTGAAAATTTATGATCACTAGACGTAAATTCACCAAACAGTAATTTTTGAGAACATGATACTGTCTATCAGTTTGAAATGTGACCTCTCATTGATCATTTTTGTGCTAATTCTTCATCTGTGACTCTCCACCCACAGCCTTTAAAGAACTGATGACTGAAGTTTGCAGAACAATCGGTAAGTGTTCTAGGGGCCACATTACTTTGCTGTGCTCTTGCTGGAAAGGCTCACAGGTGTAGAATGTGCTGTCATCCTTTTCCAGCCATGTCTGCCACTGACCTGAAGATCCAGAGCACCGCCGAGGGCATCCGGCTGTACTCCTTCGTCACCTATTACCTGGATGACTTGAAAGTCAACTGGTCCCACAAGTAAGTGTGGGGGAGCTTATGTAGCACAGAGAAATGCTTTCTCTTTCTCCAACATGAGAAACAAATGTGAGGAGAACAACTTCTCGATTTTTCTCAGGGAAGAAGGTTCTGACACTCTTGACTTTCCAGGATTTGGGAGAGATATGCTTCGTCTATCCCTTAGTATGACATGAGAGCTTGCTCTTAACACACATTGTGGGTCCAGGAATGGTTTAGAATATTTTTTATCACAACTTGAAAAATATTGGCGTTCACAGCCACCATTACACTCTAATCTCCAGCCCAAACAAGGTTCATTTTGGGACATCTCTGCTTAGCCACGGACAGATTTCTGGCCCTCTCTTCCTCCATACAGCTCACCTGGGCTTTGGTCTGGAACAAGACTGAAGCAGTATGCACAAAAAGGCAGCAATTTTTTTTATATCAATAAATTCAGAGGAGTACCCACATGATTTTTATAGCAATTGGCTCCATTGGCATTATTTTTCCTCTCAATCCTCAGAAGATTTTAGAGTATCCAAGATGACCTTGGAATACGTCATTGGGGTAATTTAATGTTCAACTATTTCAGAAGGTTGTTTATAATTAAAGACCCGTTTCACTGAAGGAATTAGCAAAAAACAAGATTCCAGGAATTCACAGAACAACAATTTAGGCAGTTCAACAAATTGCTTGCAGGCATTATTGGGAGCACTCACTCATCCATGCCAAAAAATGGGGAAGACAGTTACCTGGCCAACTGACTAGAAAAGATCCATATTTGTACTCATCTTAAAGAAAGATGAATTGTTGTGATTATCAAATATCTTTAGCATCACTCACAAGAACAGTATGCTGAAAGTGATTTTAAAATATCTGTAACAGTCCATAGACAGGGAACTACCAGAGAACTATCAGAAATTCAAGCCAGATTCAGAAAAGGTCCTGGAATAAGAGACATCATTGCTGATAGCAGATTAGTTTTAGCTGAAAGTTTAAAATACCAGAAAGGGATTGAATGCAAGAGCATTCAACTGTGTGGTTCATAATAAACTATGTATAACATTAAAAAGAATTAAAATTTCATTATACTTAATTGTCATTGGAACAAAACAAGGGGTACCATGTGACTTAAAATCAGAAAATATGAGCATCAGGGTTATCTCTTTTCACCACACTTTGATTTGCATGTTGAGAAAATGATCTAAAAGTTGAGCTATGTGAAGAAAAATATGGCATCAGGACTGAGGAAGACTCATTATAACCTCCAATAACCAGCTACTCCACAGAAGGATAGGCAATCTCCTGTGCGATTAACTAACTGCCTCTGAAAACCCACCAGAGAGTCAGTCAGCTGTGGCTCACCGATACTCAACAGCACAACATGCAGATTTCCTAACCTTTTTTGTTGAAAGTTAAGAGGACTTGATTCCATTCATTCATTGTTGCACCCTTCTCCCCGCACAAACCCCTCCCCCCCATTTGCTCCTCTCCTTGAAAAGCAAAAGAAAAACTCCCTCATTGGTACACAATCCCCACCCCGCACCTCCCCAAACCCCAGCCCCTACCCCCAAATATAATCCACTCTGCAACCCTCATTGCATACTCCTACGATAAAAATAATGCCCTAAAATATAATACTTTTAGACTATTCTCTCCCCCATAGACTTCAATGCCATAAACATATTTCATCCAGTTTTTCTCAGTCTTACCCCCACCCCAATGCCAGCCTCATTCTACAACAGTGGCACCATATAGCATTTGTCCCTTTGTGACTGAGATACCTCACTCAGCATAATGTCCTCGAGGGTCACCCATTTTGAATAATATTGCATGAGTTCCTTGTTTTTCAATGCAGCATAGTATTCCATTGTGCGAGTATACCACAGCTTCTCTACCCATTCGTTTGTTGATGGGCATTTAGGTTGTTTCCAACTCCTTGCTATTGTAAACAAAGCCGCAATAAACATGGGTATACATATATCTACTTGGATGTCATTTATGGTCTCTTTAGGGTTTATTCCCAGTAGTGGAATTGCTGGGTCAAATGGTATCTTTATTTGCAACTTTTTGAGAAAGAGAAACAATATTATTAATTTCACATGCAAGTAAAATCTTGCTTAAGATTTTTTTAAACGGTTGGAACACTATATTGATAGGAATCTTCCAGAAATACAATTTGGATTCAGGAGAGGCCATGGAATGGGGACATCAGATGGCTCTTGAATGAGAGCAGAAAATACCTTAGAGATGTCTATTTTTGTTTTGTTGACTATGTAAAGGCATTCAACTGTGTGAATCAGAATAAATTATGGGTAATATTGAGAAGAAAAAAAAAGAGGACTTGAAGCACTTAGTGATTCAAAGTACAAAGACTACAGCCTTCAGATTGTATACATCTCAATATAAAGGAAATAAAAACCCTCTCAACTGGACCAAGAAGCAAATCATTAATAAATAGAAAAAAGATTGAATGTGGTAAGGGTTTGATTTTGTTTAGATCCACAATCAAAGACTATGGAAGCAACAGTCAAGAAATCAAAATATATATTTTCATTGGGGAAATCTGCAAAAGACATCTTTAATGTGTCAAAAAGCAAAAGCTAAAGAAAGATTTACATACAGATAGATTCTTGAATAGTTAAGAGGAAGGGAAGGAAAGGAGAGTAAAAATTAATAGACATTTATTAGGGAGCTCTGGTGGCCTAGTGGTAAGAAGCTGTGCTGGAATTCCAAAGGCATGTGGTTCAAGTCCACCAGCTGCTCTTTGGGAGAATGAAGGACAGTCTCCTCCTGTTCAATTTGTGTTGTTGTTAGGTGATGTCAAGTACAACTCATGGCGACTCTATGAACAAAAGATCTGAACCCTGTTTTATCCTGTTCCACCTTACACTCCTTAACACATAAGAGCCCATTGCAGCAGTCACCGTGTCATTCTACATGGTGGAGCTTCTTCCTCGCCTTCATCGACCCTCCACCCTTTCCAACCCATGTCCCTCTCCAAGGAACAGTACCTCCTAACAATATGTCCAAAGTATGTGAGGTGAAGCCTCATCCTTCTTGCCTGCAAAGATCACTCCATCTGTACCCTCTCCAAGACATATCTGTTTGTTCTCTTGGCCGCCCATGGTATGTTCAGAGCTCTTCTCCAACACCACAGCTCAAAGGCGTCAGTTCTTTTTCTGTCATCCTTATTCGTTGTCCAGCTCTCAGATGCACAGCAAGCAATAGGAAGCACCATGACCTGAATCAGACTCACCTTAATCCTCACACTAACATCATTACTCCTCAATAATTTGGAGAGGTCCCTAACTGCAGATTTTCCCAGTGCAGTGCATCTCCTTATGTCCTGACTGCTGGTACCAAAAGTGTTAATTGAGGATCCAAGCAAGATGAAGTGTTGACAATTTCAATCTCCTCTCCATCCATCATGATGCTGCCTATTGGTCCCGTGGTAAGGATCTTTGTTTTCTTGTCATTGAGACACAATTCATACCAAAGGCTGCATTCCTTGATCTTCTGCAACAGGTGCTTCAAGTTCTCCTCACTTTCAGCAAACAAGGTTGTATCATCTGCATAATGCAGGATTGATGAGTTTCCCTCAAATCTTGATGGCACATTCCTCCTCATAAAGTCCAGATGCATAGCATACAGATTGAATAGGTATGGAGAGAAAATACAACCCTGACACTTCTTCTCAATTTTAAACCGTGCAGTGTTCCCGTGCTCTGTTTGCACAATAGCCTCCTGGTCCAGGTATAAGTTTGACATGAGCACAATTATGTGCTCTGGGATTATCATTCTTCTCAGTGTCAGCCACAATTTGTTATGATCCACACAGACAAATGACTTTGTGTAGTCAATAAAGCACAAATAGACATTCTTCCTTACTTTCAGTCAGGACCCATCTGACATCAGCAATGATATCCTTGGTACTATGGCCTCTTCTAAATCCTGCTTGAACCTCTGGAAGTTCCCTATATATGTCCTGTTCTAGCTGTGATCTTCAACAGTACTTTGCTTTCATGTGTTACTAATGATATTGTTCAATAGTTTCCACCTTCTGTTGTTTCACCTTTGTTGGGAATGGGAATAAATATGGACCTCTTCCAACCTGTTGGCCAGTCAGCTGTCCTCCAAATTTCCTGAAATAGATGGATGAGCACATCCAAGGCTACATCTGTTAATTGAAACAAGGCAATTGGTATCCCATTGATTCCTGAGGCCTTATTTTTTAGCCAATGCCTTCAATGCAGCTTCTCTTCCTCCTACATTATCATTGGTTCCTGTTCATTTGGTACTTCCTATGCAATTTACTGTTTCTGAAAACCCACTGGAGGGTTAGCTATGGGCTGGTTTCAATTTAATGGCACAAAACAACAAGAAGACTTTTTTTAAAAGGAGTTGAAGGAAAAGCAATATACAATAAGACGATGATCAGACATTGTAAATATGTTGTAAAGCAAGATTTATATAAATGATTGAATGAAAAAACCTGTATGGTCTGTAAACTTTCATTCAAATCACAATTTTTATAAAAGCAAAGGTGTAAAAAAAAAAAGCAAAGGTGTTATTTTGAGGACTGAGGTGCACCTGCCCCTAATCACAGTATTTCCATTTGCGTCACATGCAAGTCAAAGCTGGAAAGTGAATACGAAAGACTGAAGAGGAGATGATGCCTTTGCATTAGTAAAGACAATTAAATATATCATGGATTTCCAGAAAAAAATGAGCAAATATGTCTCAGAAGGAGCATGGCCAGAATGTTTCCTAAAATAGAGGATGACAAGATTATGTCCCACATACTTTGGACATATTATCAGGAGGAACCAGAAAAAAAGCACATCAGGTTTAGTAAAGCAGATGGTAGGTGAAAAAGAACACCTTCAACCAAATGGAATAACAATGTGGCTGCAACAGTGACCTGTAGCAAGGATTGTAGCACAGTGCAGAATCAGTCTGTGATTCACTGTCTCGTACACAGGGTCACTATGAGGAAGAACCAACTCCACAGCACACGA